TAAAATTCTAAATTTAAGATGGCTCTAGAGTGAAATAAAATGGCATAGTGATTAATTTAAACAAAAAAGAAAAAGAAAAAAAAGTGTAAAGCATTGAAGTCTTTCACAATAAACAAATTATGACATCATACCTTAGTTCCTTAGCCTTTCTTTTCATTTCCTCTGTGATATGAAATGGTTCAGGAGATTCAATATCAATCTCTATTGCTACCTGCATAACATTCCTTAGTTATATTTAGCAGCGTGAAACTAAAATCTAAGCCAGCGTTGAAAAGCATGAAGTATATATGACATCGTATAAAAATTTCAACAGTATTTTGATCTGTAACGGCCAAAGCCCACGGCTAGCAGATATTGTCCTCTTTGGGCTTTCCCTTTCGGGCATATTGTCTTCTTTGGGTTTTCCCTTTCGGGCTTCCCCTCAAGGTTTTTAAAACGCGTCTGCTAGGGAGTGATTTCCACATTTTTATAAAGAATGCTTCGTTCTCCTCCCCAACCGATATGGGATCTCACAATCCACCCCCCTTCGGGACCAAGCGTCCTCACTAGCCCACCGTCCGATATCTGTCCTCTTTGGGGCTCAGCGTCCTTGCTAGCACACCACCCGATATCTGACTTTGATACCATTTGTAACAACCCAAGCTCACCGCTAGTAGATATTGTCCTCTTTGGACTTTCCCTTTCTGGCTTCCCCTTAAGGTTTTTAAAACGCATCTGCTAGGAGAGGTTTCCACACACTTATAAAGAATGCTTCGTTCTCCTCCTCAATCGATGTGGGATCTCAGAACCCACCCCCCTTCGGGGCCCAGCGTCCTCGCTGGCACTCGTTCCTCTCTCCAATCGATGTGGGATCTCACATGATCTTTGATCATTAAGAATGCATGCAATCGAAATAGAAATCTAACTGAATGAATGAAATGTAATAAAGAAATCTATATAGATAAAGAATTATACCAGGGGCATTTGATCTATATCTGGATCATTCTCATGATCAATGAGCCAATTAATTGCAGCTTCAGTGCTGACATTCCCTGAAGAACAAAGAAAGTACTTCTCTGAGAATGATAAACAGTAGAAGGCTTTCAGTCCTCTTACATCTATCTTTAGCTGTACATTTGGAATGCAAAGGTAAAAGAGAATTGTTTGTCATTATCAATTGTTTATTATCACCATTCACTCTCGGTGAAGAAATGAAAATAGTGAAATGGCTCCTACTTTGTCACATACCAAATCGTAGCATATGATTGATATACTCAACCTATGAATGTCGGTCAATTATTCTCACCAGTACTATGAAGTGCTCGGACAGCTCGGGCCCTTGGGAATCCTAGATCTTCAATCTCGCGTAGGAGTTTCTGTTTTACCTCTAGAAAAGCCATTCCTACGAGAGATTTCAATTTTCAATTAATAATAAATCACCAAATCATAACCGCTCCTAAGAGCAAACAATTAGTAATGAAACTTACATCCAGAGATCTCAAGTTCAAATCAACTAAAGAAATAATACCTCAAAGAAAATTTCAAATTCGAAACAAATAGCAAAAGAATGCTGATAAATTTGCTATATCAAATTTGAAAAGGGTTTTTGGGATTCAAAGACAACCAATAACTTCTCCGCCTCAGATGAACACGAAATAAAATTCAAAACGAACTCTATCGTTTTCAGTACAACAAATTGAAGGACAGCTAAGTTGAAAAAAAGAATTGCAGAGAGGATAGCTTCGATTTGTCCGAGTATGGTGCACGACGATTTGAAAATGAGCATGAAGAAGACGGAGAAAGAAAGGCAAGATAGTGTTTTACCTTTCTAGGCAGTTCCAGAGATGTCTACGATAAACCAAGGGATTTTCACCACGGGAAGCCATTGAAGATCCCTTGCTCGCTCCTGCAAATGCTTACTCTATGGTACAAAACTGTTGGTTGCCGCCCTTTCTCTGATATTCATATTCTCGCTTTTATACCTTTTTGGCTCCTTGTTATGAAGGAAAGAATAATACACCTCAATTTTGGGTTCTCTCGGTTCTAAAACATGTCTATTACGGACACGTTTCCACACCCTTATAAAAAAATATTTCGTTCTCCTCTCCAAGTGACATGAAATCTCATAATCCACCTCCGTAGGGACTAGTGACGGGCTCTGATATCATTTGTAACAATCAAAGCCTACCACTAGCTGATATTGTCTGCTTTAGCCCATTACGTATCGCCGTCAGCCTCTCGATTTTAAAACATGTCTACTAAGGAGGTTTCCACCCTCCCTCTCCAACCAACGTGGGATCTCACAATGTTCTTATAACATAACCACATTATAAAAAAAAACAAAAGTAATGGTTGTCGTCTTTTCTAACCGTGAAAACTATGTCCATGGACAGCCAAACGTGCTTAAGTTAAATTTCTTATAATTGGGTCATCGAAAAAGAAAGTGTATTTTATCGGTATAAATAAAAATGAGTCATTGTTTTAAGTCTTGCTCAACCTCTCGTATCTTCAAAAACATTCACGTTGGATCTAGCTCAATGATTAGTACCATATCGTCTAGCTCTCTTAAGCTCATATCTCAATCATTGTTGTCTCATGACCTACTAAATGAGTAGATCAACTAGCTCCTTTGAACTTATCTCGATCATTGGCGTCACAAGTTTACTCAATGGTTGATGTTTGCTATCTAATTCCACGTAGCTTATCTTAACGATTAGTGCCACATAATCTTGCTCTTTTGAGCTCGTCCTAACGCTTGGCCGCACAAAGGTTTATGTAATCTAATTAAACTTTATGAGTACAAGTATACGCCACCCATCACTAACATGCTTGAAGACGCCAATCTCAATCAATTTTCAATCATATTCTAAGTCATAAATCCAATAACAATTTGTAAGATTGGACCAAATTATAGGGACAATATTACAACTAAAATAAAACTAAGATTTCCAATTAAAGACCGATTTTCTAAGAATTCATAATTTTTATTTAAAAACCGATATTAGAATGATGAGCATCCAAATTACCTCCATCTGACAACCAAAAACATTGGCCCGAGTGAACATCAATAGGCAAGACCCCATGAGGAGTTAGAGGACCTCCTAGTTTGAGGTCAACTTATAAACGAATCACAATCATACAAAATACAAGTTAAATAAATAGATCCCGAGGAAAAGAGCCAACATAGCTCCATCTAGGATAATAGAGAAGCCCATTACAACGAACAATCTAACAAATCATTTCAGATGGGCGCAAGGTAGCTCTATGAACGCAAAAGTTATTCTCCAACTAAGATGGTAGATAACGGTATACTAGGACACACATAAGATCTTTCGGTGTAAACGATTGGCTGCACTAAAAGACATTCAATCAAGCTTAGCGAGAGATACAAAACATTCCTTATAAGGGTGTGGAAGCTCTCCCTAAAAGACGCACTGTAAAACTGTAGGACTGCCGATGTTACGTAACAGACCAAAACAGACATTACAATATACAATCGAACGGTCACAGAAAGAAAGAAAGATGGCAGAAGTTAGAGGATCGTATGTAACGAAGCTTTGAAATTTGGAGATGGGAAGGTTAGTTTTTGGTGACTTATGGGTACCTGTGTTTGCGTTGAATGCAGCACAAGACCCATAATTGGAAGCCTAGTAGATATGGTGGGCACAGCTACTCATTACCTTAAAAAACAATATCACTTGTAATATCGTAGCTCTAACCGCGTGCTCTATTTTCTTCCATATACCATTTTCTTAACTTCGACCAAATCAAAATCAACCTTGTTTGCCTTTTATGGTTTACGGTTGGTAGGAATTAAATGTCATTGTAAAATTATAATTTTAGCCCTATTCTACTTTGTTATTTTCATTCACATCACATGAAAAATGTAATCTTACTCGATTCTAATTTAGTAGCTTAAATTCTTGGGTTATACACCTAATTTTAACATGGGTATAAGTATTCGAGCAACAAACATATTTTGAGTGATCTGAGATCCCACATCAGTTGGAGAAGAAAACGAAACATTCCTTATAAGGGTGTGATAATCTCTTACCAGTAGACGCATTTTAAAACCATGAGGGTGATGGTCATATGTATCAGACCAAAGTATACAATATTTGCTAGCAATGAGTTTGGGCTATTACAAATGGTATCAGAGCCAGACATTGAGCGGTGTGTCAGCGAAGATGCTGGCCCCCAAGAGAGGTGGATTGTGAGATTCTACAACATTTCTCACAAGGGTGTAATAACCTCTCCCTAACAAACACATTTTAAAACCATAAGACTGATGGTGATACGTAATAGATTAAAACGGACAATATCTGTTAGCGGTGAGTTTAGACGGTTACAAATGATATCAAAGCCAAATATCGAGCGGTTTGCCAGAAAAAATGCTAGCTCCCAAAGAAGGTGGATGAAAACAAACAATATTTGTTCGCGGTGTGCCAACAAGAACACTCGCTCTCAAAGAAAGTGGATTGTGAGATTCAGGGGAACGAAACATTCCTTACAAGTGTGTGATAACCTATCTCTAGTAGAACACGTTTTATGAGCTCAATTAATTAAGACATGCATTTTCGAACCTCTCGTGCCATCCCATATATGTTATTAAATTGATAGAACACCACTCTCCACAATGGTATGATATTGTCCACTTTGAGCATAAGTTCTCATATCTTTGCTTTGGGCTTCCCAAAATGTCTCATTCAAACCAAAAGAGTATTTCTTGATTATAAACTCATGATGATTCTCTAAATTAGTATGGAGTTTCATCATCTAACGTTTAATTAAAAATTTATAGGCTATGAAAGTGAGATATTCAAATTTGGTATTATTTTTTTCTTTCCTTTATTTCTTCATGTCCATTCAATCATGACCCCACTTATTGATTCATCCAACGAACCAAATTCGATCTCTTCTTAACCGCTTTACAACGAACTACTCATCTTCACGTCAACACTTTCTCTCTCTCTCTCTCTCTCTCTCTCTCTCTCTCTCTCCTTTTATAAATATTTACTTCTCAGTGCCATTCATTCTCACAACAACTACAAAAGCAAAGCCGCTGACACCCATGGCTGGAGCGTCGCCGCCGTTGTGTTTGGTGGTTTTGGTTGTTTGTTTATTGGGGTTTTCCGGCGCCGCCGATATGAACGGGGAGCTGGAGATCACGTGGGGTGGCGACCGAGCCAAGTTTCTGGACGGCGGAAATGAGCTGACGCTGTCGCTTGACAAAGGCTCCGGCTCCGGCTTCTGGTCGAGGAACCAATATTTGTTTGCCAAAATCGACATGCAGATCAAGCTCGTCCCCGGAAACTCCGCCGGCACGGTCACGGCGTATTACGTAAGCTCTCAAATTCCTGCCGCCGCTTCACTCCATTACATTGAATTAAACATTTATTTATAAATTAAACATTTGTTGAAATTGTTTTTATTTAAATTTTTGTTTTTGATAAAACTAAAATGTTTAATTTATTAACCTTTAATTATAAATTTTAATTCATTGTACAAATAAAATAAAATTAAAAAATGTATATATAATTAAGGCTGGTTTTAACAAATTTAGTTTTAGAAAAATTTGTGAATCAACTCATTTAATTTATTTATTTGAATCTAATTTAATTCGAATAAGTTTATAATTGAACCCAAGTCGTATACTTTTTTAATGATTCAAGTTGTACTTTTAATATATCAATTTTAGTTATATTTTCAAAATTTGTATTTAATTTTCGTTCATTTATTAGTTATTGTACTTTCAGGACACGAGTGTATTTCATAAAATATTCTCATAACTTTGTATTAAAAGGTTTTATGGAATATAATTAAAAATTCAAATCAACTTCTTTTAATTAAAGTTTATATTTTTAGTAATGAGTTTTATGATATGATATTTTACCTATAATAATTTACATTAATTATTATTATTAAAAAAAATCACCGGTAAAGTCAAAAGTCATTAATTAGGCTATTAAAGTAGATTTAAGGTACAAAGTCATTTTAATGAGAAAAAAAAAAAGAAAAAGAAAGGCTTAGTACATTGAATTTAAATATTATAGTGTGATAAAGTCATCTTTTAAAGTCAAAGCAGAGCTAAGGTTATTTAAGTTTTTCATCATTGGATAATGAAAGAGAATATTCAGTTGAATATAAATTCAACCGTTATTATAAGACAATCGCATATTTGACTTTGAATGGTAATACGAATTGTAGTTACGTTCAGAAGAGTCAAAGTGGGATGAGATAGACTTCGAGTTCTTGGGAAATCTTAGTGGTGAGCCATATATTGTTCATACAAACATCTTCGTTCAAGGTAAAGGTGATAGAGAGCAACAATTCTACCTCTGGTTTGATCCAACCGCTGATTTTCACACTTATTCCTTTCTATGGAATCTCAAAAATATCATGTAAGTTAACAACTCTTCTCTCATCTATATATTCCCCACATCGATTGGAGAAAGAAAAGTGCTAACAAGGACACTGGGCCTCAAAAGGGGTAGACTGTGAGATCTCACATCGGTTGGAGAGTAGAACGAAGCATTATTTAGAAGAGTGTGGAAACCAAACCTCTCTCTAGCAAACGTGTTTTAAAAACTTTGAAGTGAAGCAAATTCAAAGAAGACAATATCTATTAATAGTGAGTGGGTTGGACTGTTACGGACGTGAACACGGGCTAAAGGTAAGAAAAGTTTGACACTTGATTAATGGTTATAAATTGTTGGCAGATTGTACGTGGATGGGACTCCGATAAGAGAGTTCAAGAACATGGAATCCAAGGGCATTCCATTCCCCAAAAACCAGGCATTGAGGCTACAATCAAGCCTGTGGAACGGCGACAGCTGGGCCACATGGGGAGGCCGAGTGAGGATCGATTGGTCTCAGGCTCCTTTCACTGCTGCCTACACAAACTTCAACGACGATCAGGCATGCATTTGGTCCTCCTCAGCCTCCTCCTCTTGCGCTGCCTCATCCAAAGACGATTCTTGGCTGTCCCAACAGTTGGACTCGGCCGCACACCAAAAGCTCGAGTGGGTGCACAAAAATTACATGATTTATAACTATTGCACTGATTTCAAGAGGTTCCCCCAAGGCCTCGCCCCTGAGTGTGTCACCCAAGGATAGAGTTCGGTAAACCGAGTGATATTAAAATAATCAAAATACCATTGTTCGTTGTGATCAAACTACCTCTTTGTTTATTAACGAATCACTTCTGCAATAGCTCAACTCGAAGTATTATTGACTTCGAAGTACTATAATCTAATAGTTTGGAATAAAAAATAGAAGAAACCTACGACTTTGACAAGAGAGTACATACGGTTCTCTCAAATTTACTTGCTACCACAACTCAAAATGAATCTAGACTTAAATTGTTAATCGGAAAAATGCCACAATAACCCGTCAAAATTCAGTTGTGCGTGTATGCAGCTGTGTGGAAAACCTAAATGGCCAGTACATGGGTCGAGACTTCATTTTTTCTCCACGAAAAAACCTAACATCTTTTATCTTTGGTCTCACCAACCGTATTTGTGAGGTGAAATTAGCCACCAACCTAAGAGAAGAGATCTCGATGTTTGAGTTACGTGCCTTAATTTCCTGTTGAGAGAGAGATGTACCTGCATGTGACATACAATATTTTTTAATTTGTGACGTTGAAAACTCACTAATTAACTAAAGATGCAAAATTTTAGAATCATCTTATTTATGGTTGAACATTGTTGGAATCTCATGTTAGCTAATTACGGAAAATATTATGAATATAGAAGTAACTGACACTATCTTCAATAGTACGAGCCTTCTTGAGACTACCAAAAACAAAGTCTTGATACACTTTTGAGTTATTGGGATCAAGAAAGAGTTCTCAGAGATTTTTTTTTTCTTTTTATTTATTTATTTTATTTGTAATTTATAAAAAAAATAAGTGAATCTATAATAAAATGTGAATAAATATTGAGGAGCACGTACAAAGGTACATAGGAAAGAGGTGGCCAACACGCCATAATATGTCAAACGACACTCTTAAAATAAAAAATCTTCAATTTGTGAGTCAACGAGACAGCACAACTCTTCAAATTTATTTTATAATATAAAGTTTGAATTAAACTTACAAAGAAACATCCCACAAAGATGTATCTAAACACAAAAAAATATTACATTTCTTTTTAATATAACATATTAGTTTGATGAAACTAAAATTAATTTACCCTTAGTCTTCAAGTATATAATAATTTAATCGATATAATATGTAGTAATTATAAATTTGGTCCATAAACTTTAATAGTTCAAATGTTGATTAAAATTTTCGACAACACAATAGATAAATGGAAAGTAGAAAACTAATCGGATTAGAATGATATATTTGACAAAAGACTTTTACTATCTATGTGTCCTAGGGGTGTTTGTGGGTTAAGTTGTGTAACAGCCCGAGCCCACGGCTATTAATATAATTCTATTTGGACATTCTCTAAAGGTTTTATAAACACCTATGTTAGAGAGAGGTTTCCACACTCTCTCTCCACCAAATGTGAGATCTCACAAGTTGACATTTTTTTTAGACTCAACTTAATTGTTCTGGTTGTAAAATTTTCAAACTCAAACAAGTTTTATTAAATAATGAACCTCGCTCTAAATAAGTTCATAATTTAACTCAAACCAGACAAATTAAGTTGAACGGATCGAAATTTTTTGAGTTTTTGTATACCCTCGGACTAAACAATATTTAGTAAATATACATGTCATAGGGTCATTTTGTTGACCAAAAGGTCCATAAATTCGTGTATTATTTAAAAAGAAAAAAAAACATTTTTTATTATTGAAATGGTTAAATCAATATTTGAACTTCAATGGTCATATCTTATTTAATCCATATACTTTAAAAAGTTTATAATAGAATCCTAAACTTATCGAGTCCTTAAACTTTTAATTTTAAATGTCTCGAACCATCTTTAAATAATATGGCCAAACATGTCAGGTAAGCATTAACGACTTCAAAGTTTCCCTCTTTTGGCAATGCACTCACCTTCGATATGCCAGCCGTCCAATGGGTGCAGCTAGCCATGAGGCAATGCATCTTCCAAATGGTGTGGCCATCACGTCGAGAAAAACTCTGGAATAATACAGCAACATCCATTATAATTAATGACGCGTTTAGGATCTTTTTAGAAGTCAAAATGAAAATAAATGCTAACTTCAAATTCATTCCCATATAAATTCCATTCTCCATAGATCATTCTTCCATATGTGCTTCCAAGTTTCCCTACAAACAATGAAGCTTCTGTTTATTTGTGCTGTGTTCTGTTCTTTTCACGTGTCGTTGGGCAATGACTTGTTCAAATTTATTGATATCAGTTGGGGCGATGGGCGAGGTCAGATGCTTAACAATAACGAGCTTCTAATGCTTGGCTTGGACAAAGGCTCTGGCTCTGGCTTTCAGTCCAAGAATGAATACTTATTTGCTAAGGTTCAAATGCATATCAAACTCGTCCCGGGTAACTCTGCTGGCACCGTCACTACCTTCTTTGTAAGTTTCTTACCTAACCCTGAATATATATATATATATATATATATATATAAATATGTATGTCGTTTCGAAAAGAGGATACTTTATTGAGATTTGTTATTGTTATATTGAGATCTTGTCATTTAGAAAGAGGAAATTGAGTGATTTCACTTTGAAAATGTCGGTGAATGATGTTTTTATTGACATTTTCGTTGCTAAAAAATGTTCAACTTATGCTAAGATAATCAAGATGTGAGATTCCACATGGATCGGAGAGGGAAGAACGAAATATTTTTTTTATAGAGGTGTGGAAACTTCGCCCGTAAGAAAAGTCCAAAAATGATAATATCTGCTAGCGGTGGGGTTGAGATATTACAAATGGTATCAGAGTCAAACACCGAACGGTGTGCCATCGATGGCGCTAAACCCCGAAGAAGGGTGGCTTATGAGATCCCACATTAGTTTGATAGAGAATGAGTGTCAGCGAGGACGCTGGGCCCTGAATGAGGATGAATTATGAGATCCCACATCGGTTGGAGAGGGAAACGAAACATTCTTTATAAGGTGTAGAAACCTCTCCCTAGCAGACGCATCACAGCTTAAACAATATCTACTAATAGTGGGCTTGAGCATTTATACAAGAAATTCATAAAACCTGATGAATGAATATTTTACATTCGGTAATGAGCATGTAGTTTAATGGTTAATAACCGTTCATACTAATCCTTTTTTTTTTTTTTGAATTCTTTCTTAAACCTTTTGATCAGTAATAGATTATAATTTTTTTTTGTACGATACAATAGAAATATTGATTCGTCTCTCGTATACGTTGATATCAAACTCATAGATATATGAAAATGTCGATATTCGATCGAGTTTCATACCTTAATCATATATCAACTAAATTGTAATATCATAATGTGATTTTAGTTAACTTCAAAAGGAGAGTACCACGATGAGATAGACTTCGAATTTCTTGGAAACACAAGTGGAAATCCTTACATCCTTCATACCAATGTGTTTAGCCAAGGAGTTGGCAACAGAGAGATGCAATTCTACCTTTGGTTTGATCCAACCGCTGATTTTCATACCTACACCATCTTCTGGAATACCCAACACATTGTGTAAGTACCCATTATTCTTTTCATTCCTCGAGTCTACTTGAAAGAATCACTAACTTCTAGTGGATTTAGTATAAGTTTTGAAAGTGATTTTAGATGATTGAAGGTGCGTTTTTTTACAAATCGAAAGGTTCGAGAAAATTTAGAGACAAAATATAAAAATTGTTTATGTAAAACATTTAAGAGATGATGTAACATCTGAGTAAGGAAGATTGTATGAATAAATTGGGACGACATCAGGTGTTGAATTTAGATTATGAATTCTTGTTCGAATGATGAGCGTGATCTGATTATCTAAAAATATCTTTTAAGCTTTATCGGCAACGAAATTGAAAATTTTGAATATTACAGTTTCTACGTAGACGAGATACCTATAAGAGAATTCAAGAACTTCGAAGACAAAGGAGTGCCATTCCCACAATACCAAGCCATGAGATTACATTCAAGTCTATGGGAAGCTGATGATTGGGCCACAAGAGGTGGTCTTGAGAAGATAGATTGGAGTGAAGCCCCATTCAGAGCTTATTACAAGAACTTCAGTGAAGATGGCTGCTTTTGGTTCAATGGATACTCATCTTGCACTCCCAATTCAAATTCATGGCTGTGGGCAAATTTTGATTATGAATATGCAAAGAAGAGCCAAATGAAATGGGCACAAGATAACTACATGATCTACAATTATTGTCAAGACACAAAGAGGTTCCCACAAGGCTTCCCTCTTGAATGCTACCTCAACACCTACTAGGAGGAGGTCAACCTTAAAAAACACACAAGAAGATTGAATTAATGTTTCTTAATCTTGTCGAATTTCTGATTTCTTGTTTGAGAAATCTTTACAAATTTGTGGAGTCAACTGAGTTTTTATTTTATCAATGAGGTATCTTTACCATATTAAAATGTCAAACATTTTTATTTGATATTCAAACTTAATTTTACTTGTTACGTTTAAACATAGCTCTTTGTATATTATAACACTTTCATGCCCAAAATTTTATTAGAATTTAAAGTACGAATCGGACACCTGATGGTTTTGATATTTCTTTACATCCATGGTTATGATATTTCCTTGCATCCATATGACACGGTCACATTATTTACACCACGTTTCTAAGAGTGGAGACTATTCTCACAGACTAACACGAGTCATTTTAACATTTTTTGTTCTCAGTCACATGCATCTTAGAAAAATTCTCATGTGGTCACTCAACATAGAATTGCTTCAAGCAAAACATGAACTTTCCAGTTTCTATGATTGAGTTATTGAAAAGGAAGACACACCTTGTTCATATAGGTAGTAACTTTCAATTCTTTTAATCATTTCTGAGTCATCTTATTCTTAAGATTATTCTCATTAGGTTGTGGTATCGATTAATTTATGTACCACTTTTTTACTTCTATCTTATGTGATAGAGATAATATATAATAAGGAAATATAAGAGAATAATAAACCAAAGGGCATTCAGGTGCTCCATTCTCTTAGAGAGATAATTGTGAGATCCCACGTTGGTTGAAAAGAGGAACCAAACATTTCTTATAAGAGGGTAGAAACCTCTTCCTAACATGTGTTTTAAAACCGTGAGACTAACAACAATACGCAATGAACCAAAACGGACAATATCCACTAGCATCGAACTTGAACTGTTACTGTAACATAGAGAGTGAAAAGTAGTTGACAAAGCAGGTAGTATTAATAGTTTAATTCAATAATTGAGTTAAGGGAGAGGCTTGTGACTCATAAACCCTAAATACATAATAGTGCAGTAGTAGTACTGAAATGATTGAATGCAAAGCCTTACTACTATGCAATGCCTTGTGTGTTGTCTTGTCTAGCCTGTTTAAACCTCTGCTACAAAGCAGCAATAATGGAATACCCATTTTCATTTTTAATTAAACTTTACATGTTTGGTCCCCAAATTGCATATGGTGTGTTAATGGGGTTTCAATCCTTAACATGTTTGCTCACCAAATTGCAATCAATGTCTATTGTAGATAGCCCACAATATGGATGTAGTATCAATCTCAAAATTTATTTTCCTTTTCTTTACCATTATTTACCCTTCATAGAGATGGATCCAATAAGTTCTACGACCCTAAATTAGGTAAGTAATTGAACTCGTTAAATCGGTGTTAAAACCCAAAATAATATTAGTAATTAATGGTGAGAAAATGAAATTAACCCTTGACCTACTACTATGATATCATATTGAATCACCACTGATTTAACGTTTAAGCTTCAACTATCCTTTACGATAATGATTGTCGCTCCGTTTTTCGTCGTTCGTGTCTTTGTCTATCATTCCAACCCTCAAATTGTTTCTATATATCACATTCATTACGTTTAGTGTTCTCTACCTCCTCACGTAGTGCAAATCACTAAAACTCATCAAGTTACTTCGGTGTCGTTTTTCTCTGATAATCGCTTAACATAGTGTCATGTCGTTGGCTTGCAAGAGCTATTGTGCAGATGGTTGCAAGATTCAAATCTTTTAACTTATTGACGTAGTTGAAAACTTGGGACGGGCTAATATCGGTAGTTGTATTTAGTACCACATGAACTCTGAACCAAAACCAAAATGTATAAAGGATTATTTAATTCATTCCCTTTTAAAATCATTTAACCAAAAAAATTATATCACTCATTTATGAGATAGGTAGATGTTATTATTAAATGTGTTGAAAGCAATCATCCATGAATATGATGTTCCAGTGTGATTAATATTTCCTTTCAATGCTTAATAAAATATTTATGAATCAAAAAAATAAAACAAGGTAAATATTTTTTAACATAATGTTTTCCAAATATGTTTTAGTTAATTTATAAATTTAACCATTCTTTTTTTTATATAACATAAACTATATAATATATCTTACTATCTAAGTTCCTACCGAATTTCACACCAACTTGACAAAAGGTTAGTTAAAAACATGTCACACTGTTTCCCTAATAATATTAATGATAACAAAGACCACAAATCATTATCCATACCAGAAAGTATTCAAAGATTAAATGTAACGGATAACTAAATCTACCATTTAAATTTTCGAAAATATAGATGGTTTTAGGGTTCATATGAGATGACATGAAATGATTAAGTTATGTATGAAATGAACAAAGGTATAACTTGCCATGATTTTAAGCTATAGGGACCTCATGCATGTTGTATGTTAACGTGTATTAGAATACTTCCTCGCCATGATTAGTACGCACGCGTACATTATGATGTTATGTTACAATATTATGTACACCCTAATACTACATGCACCCCCTTCCCTCCATGGCGTTCTGATAGCGTAAGTGTACGTTTGCTGAAGGCTAGGTTTAGGGGGTACGTATGCAAGCTCACTTGAGGTCCATGTGCACGTATATGCATCGTTTGTAGAGAAGTACTACACATCTAATTTATTTTATGAAAGAATAGGTCTCAAACATGATTGCATGTGATTGCATTTCCTAATCAAGTCACGTACTACTCAAGTAAAAGTAAGACATCTCTGTACATATGACGATGTTGTTGTGAAGACCATAGAACCGAAGCTAAGGTAGTTGCATATCTGTACATACGACGATGTTGCTCGAAAGGACATATGACGATGTAGCCTCTCTATTTCATCCAAAAAAAAAAAAAAAGAAAAGAAAAAGTTATTTTGGTAGAGGAGTAAGAAAAAATGAAGTATGGAAAGCAAAGTGTAGGGTTAATAAATAGCATAGGAAGTTGGGTGAAGGATGGTGAAGAGATGGAACAGTTCCCCTTCCTTTTGAATAAGTGGTGTACGTGGTGTGCCCAACCAGAAACCATAAATAAAGGCACCACCCGACTGCCCTCTCAATATTCTGAACAACAAGTGGCAGCAATGGGGTTTGGGGATGCAAGAACTGAATGGATACTCAGATTGTGTGCCATTATTTGCTTGGTTTTGACAGTTTTCTTGATGGGTTTTGACAAGGAAACCACACAGATCTTTGGAGTGGACAAGACAGCCTCTTTCAGAAGTTTGGGTGCTCTCAAGTAAGCCCTTTAAATCATCAACCTTTGTTTCTTTGTTTGTGTTTTGAATTTGTGTGTAACTTTGCAGAGTGATTATGTTTGTGGACTCCATCGCAGCTGCCTACAACATTCTTCAACTCGCCAAATGTTGGATTTCAGCTCACCCAAAACCACCCTTCCAATTACAAACTCACTTTCACTTACCCCTATTCTGGCTTTCCTTCTTCATCGATCAGGTAACACTTGGATAACATATCATATTGTCTTTTTTAGACTTTCTCTTTCCGACTTCGCCTCAAAAATTTTAAAGGGTGTCTACTAAACAAGTTTTCATACCCGTATAAAAAATGTTTCGTTCTATTCCCGTAATCTCACATTTTATAACCTTAATTTTTAAAAATCAAATACATTTTAAATTTTTGTCTCATTTTGGTCTTCCATTTTAATTCTTATATTTTTCAAAGCTCTATTCTGGTCTTTTCACTTTCATTTTATCTTTTTCTTTTTGTTTTCATATTTATCTCATTTCTTTTATCATAATTCAAAGGTAGCCTTAAATTTAATTTGGGTTATGAAATTATCTTAAAATTTTGCAAATAAGAATAAAAAGATCACTTTTTAAAAAAAATTATATATTTCACATAAATAATATCATATAATATGTCCAATTAGGCCCCCAAACTATTTTCCTTTTTTTTTTTTTTTTCTCCTTACATATATATATATATAAATAATAAAAGTAGTTTGAACTGACATTTGGCAGGCGGGTGCTTACCTAACATTTGCGGCAAACACGGCGGGGATGGAGGCGGCGTTTGTGGCGGTGAGGGGCAACCAGGAGTTCCAGTGGATGAAGCTGTGCAACAGATTCCACAGATATTGCTACCAAGCTGCCGGAGCTTTCCTTTGTGGCTATGCAGCTGTCCTTACAATGCTTCTCATCTCCTTCCTCTCTGCTTTCAACTTGTTTAGGCATTACTCACCAAACCATTTCCTGCGCCTCAAACCCAACAACAACTGAATTCTTCTCCTTTTCTCTTAACCTTCCAACATTTGTGCACTTGTGTCTACAACTCTAGGTTAGCGTATTGTAACGTGTACGTGTGCACCCGGTTCCACTTACACAACCTTATTCTTAGTACGGGTATATAGTTACGAACAACTTGTTTTATTTAGATTGGGAATAAGATATGAGATTATGCAACCGTGTTCTTTCGCTCAAATTTTTAATTAGTTACCAACCATGTAATAATTTGGAGCGTGCAGATTCAAATCTCTCATTTTTTTAGAGTGAAGTAGCGGATTATTATTAGATTTAGAGATGTTCAAAAAATTCGATGATCGAAAAATCTTATCATGTTATAAATTCTCAACTTATTTTTGTGGGTATTCAAGTAGGGGATTATCGGTAGAGAATTCACGAGAAACTTTTTTTCTATTTATTATTCTTTTAAAAAATTATATAAATTTTTTTTAACAAATTAATATATTTCATAATCAAATATGCTTAAATATTATAATCAGAGTCTCAGTAGCATGAATTTTCTTCAATAATAAAAAATAAATTGAAATTAACGGGTAAATTCTTACGTTGAGCTACAAAATTTAATTAAACAATTAAAAATAAATAACTAAATATTTTACCGACTAATATCATATTTTTATTTTAAAAAATTTAATAAATAATAAAAAAAAGATCTAAATTAATTCAATTAAAAAAATTAATGGTTGAGTTGAGATTATTATTTAATAAGAGTTATTTGAGTTGAAAATTTTTCGAGTCGGATTGAATTTAGAAAATGTCACAACTGGGTCCAATTCAACTTGTAAACACCCTTAATTTGATTTAAATAATTATGGTGACTTTTTTTTTACAATAATAGAAAAAAAAATTGATATAATTGATTGAAAAAAATAATTCACTTTAAAAGGTAGCTAGGCTGCAACAAGATAGTGCAGCGTGCGCCTAAAGTTTTACTCCACAAATAATTCACCATGGGTTAGGCCCACTTTTGATCCTGTTTATTAATGTTTTTTTTTTTTTTTTGGTTTATTTAGTAGCACAATATTATTATATATAATTCACTTCAAATATTTAGATAATGTTTGTATCTCTCATATATGTATTTTATTCGACCACAAAAATTAAGAATAACTCATATTAATTGGAGAGGAGAACGAAACATTTTTTTTTTTATAAGGATGTGGAAAATTTTTTATATTAAACATGTTTTAAAAATCTTAAAGAAAAATCTAAAAATTAAAAACAAAGAGGATAATATTTGATAGCGGTGAGCTTAAGTTGTCACAAATAGACATTTTGTGTAACATTTAGACGTATAATAAAGTAAGAAAGTGGAGATAAATTACATATTATTCACAACAAATTAAGAAACCCATCTTCTTAATTTAGAATCATCCTCTTTCTCTCTTCAATACATTTTGTTTTTGAGAGAGAAACTCAAAGTTATGTGGATATTGTAAATTTTATAAGTCCATTGGTTGAGTGACCAACTCTAATTTAAAACGCACCATTCTCCAATTGAGCTTTTAACACTTTCCTCAAGATCTTGCCTGAAGGAGCAACTGGAATTGAGTCCACAAAGAAAACCTTCCTGATTTTCTTGTAATATATAACCTGCAACCATAACAACCACCAAACGTTCTCGTGACAAATATATTGCTTAACTTTACAACAAAAAAGGAGCTTTTTCGACCATGGCTCCAACCACGGTGATTCATGATTTGGCTAACTAAAACGGTTGATAAAGATGCTGGTTGGGTTTAGAACATCGTGAGACAATTCGGTTCCTGTCTATCGGTGAGATCCCACATTGGTTGAGGAGGAAAACTAAATATTTTTTATAAAAGTTTGGAAACCTCTCCCTAACAGATTTAGCTATTTTAAAAACTTTGAAGGAAAGTCGAAAAGGATGGCCCAAAGAGGATAATATCACCTACCGGTGGGTTTGGGTCGTTATAAATGATATTAAAGTCAAACATCGAGTGATAAGTCTTGAAGGGGGGGTGAACACGAAGGGGTGTGCTAGCAAGGACGCTGGGCTCTAAAAGGGGGTGGATTGAAGGGTTGCACATCGGTTGGAAAAAGGAATAAGTGCCAGCGAGGATGCTTGACCCGGAAGAGAGATAGATTGTGAGATCTCACATGCGTTGGGAAAGAGAACGAAGCTTTCTTTACAAGAATGTGAAAACCTATTCTTAACGGACGCGTTTTAAAAACCTTAAAAGAAACCCCGAAAGGAAAGCTCAAAGAGAACAATATCTCCTACCGGTGAGCTTGGGTCGTTATAAATGATATTAAAGCCAAACATTGGGCAATGTGCTAGCGAGGAGGCTAAGCCTTGAAGGAGATGAACACAAAGTGGTGTGCTAGCAAGGACGTTGGGCCTCGAAAAGGGGTGGATTGGAGGGTCCCACACCGATTGGAGAAGGGAACGAGTGACTCAAGCCCACCACTAACAGATATTATGAAATCTCACATCGGTTAAGAAGATAACAAAACTTTCTTTATAAGAGTGTGAAAATATAAAGAGCTACGAGGGTCGGAAAAAATATAAAAAATAAAAACACTAACCTGATCAGAAATATACTTCTTGATATCATCCTCACTAATCTTGGAGCCTTTAGATCTAACAACAAATGCAGCCGGGATCTCTCCAGCTGCTTCATCTTCCATTCTATGAACCATCAAACCAATTTGTTTCCATAATCATAATCACAATCACAATCACAATCACAATCATGTTCACGTGCAAACTTACGGTACGACAGCAGCAGAAGAAACATTAGGGTTTGAAGTCAAGAGAGCTTCAAGCTCAGCTGGGGCCACTTGATATCCTTTGTATTTGATCAGTTCCTTCAGTCGATCGACGATGAAGATCTCGTCGTCGTCGTCGATGAACCCCAAGTCTCCAGTGTGGAGCCACCCATTCTTGTCTATAGTCTTCTCTGTGGCTTCTTTGTTATTAAGGTAACCTGGTTTATGATTAAGCTTCTAATTTAGCCCATTATAAATTATACCTCATCTTGTTTTATAAAAATAATTAATTATTTAATTTTGTTCACATTATTATATTTTACGTGCCTTATTAATTCAACACATTATTTATTATTTTATGGATCATATTTAGGCCTACATCTGACCTCAATAAATAGATAGAGGCATTTATTATTTTTCTGTCACATATTTATTTGAAAAATTAATTATCTTCTACCATATTCAGGGCTTCCATTTAATATTTGTCGTGTCGTGTCGTGTCGTGTCGTGGGGTCTACCGACGTTAAAAATAATAATTTATAAAGCTGACATGGATTGTGGGACTTGCCTTTCATGATCTGGGAGCCACGTATGCAGATCTCACCAGGGTGATTACGTGGCAAAGATACACCAGTTTCAGGGTGTATGATCTTCATCTCAGCGTTCCTTACGACGGTCCCGCACGCACCTGATTTAAACTCGAACGGCTCCTTTGCGAAACCCAGACACATCGACAGAACCGGACCGGCCTCCGTCATCCCATATCCCTGCCCATTCAAAATTTTTTTTTTTTTAATTACATTAAATATTATATTTTATGCTTATTTTTATTTTAATTATTATTTTCCTCTTGTCTTGGAAAAGAAATTAAATATAAAATTAAACTTGCTTTATAACATTTAAATTTTATTAAATTGGATCATACACTTCGGAATTTCAATAATATCAAATTAGGCATAATTTGAAGTTTAATTAATGTATAATGATTAAATTGTTTTGAACGCAGTAAAAAAAGATCGCATTAAATATTATATTCTTCGAAGTTAATATTTAAAAATTTAAAAGTTGAACTCAAGTAATTTTTATGGAAAAATCAATTTAAAATAAAATAATTAAGAGTTTATAGACTATTCAAGTCGAATTAAACTAAGATTTATTATAAAGATTAAAATAATAATAATAATTTAACCAAAAACTATTAAGAAATTTTGACTTGGAAAAAAAATAATTAATATCCCACTTTATAAAAAAAAAATACCTTGGTATCGTTTGAATTGTTCTTCGGGTTCACAAATGAAATTATTTTTATATTTGTATGAAAATTAGAAAATACGGAAATAAATAAAATAAAAATCAAATCCATTTCAAAAGTCAACATTAAACATTATACTTTAAAATACAAAAATTTAAATTAGAAATTAACCACCAAGTTGCCCACCAACATCTCAGTTTTCTCTCCTAATTTAAATATTTTTGTAAATATATATTGACTTTAATATTAATCATACTCCAACAATAATGGTAATACTATATATTTAAAATATATTTATAATGTTTTTTTTATAAATATTTTAATAAAACAAATTGAAGAATTGTTTTTTATTTTATATTTTGTGTGTACAATTGTAAATTAAAATAAAAGAAAATTAAAGAATTACCTGTCCAAGCGTGGCGTTGGGAAGTCTGGCCTTGACGGTATCTTCCAGGGCCTTGCCCATGGGGGCAGCACCCGACATGACGATTCTGATGGACGACAAGTCGTAACGGTGGATGTCGGGGTTTTTGGCGAAGTCCAAGACGATGGGAGGGACGAAGGGGGCTATAGTGGCTTTGTGGGTCTGAATGAGGCGGAGAAGAGACGACATGTCGTATTTTTGGAGGATGAGAATGGCCGCGCCGACACGTAGTCCGCAGAGGAGAACGGAATTGAGAGAGTAGATATGGAATAATGGAAGAAGACATATAAGCACGTCGTTGCTGTTTAAGTCCACATTTGGATTCTCTCCGTCCACCTGCAAAATTTAACGGTCAAATATTTGAAATTTCAAATTTTCCGGCGGTCGCAACGGTGACCGAAGTAAGGAATACATCTCTATTGACACGAAGGCTTTTAAAGAAGCCCAGTAAATAATATCATATAATTGGAGAGAGTAGTAATTTTTAACAGGTTTTTACTGACCTGTTGAGCAATGCTTGTAACGAGAGATTTGTGTGTGAGCATAACGCCTTTAGGAACTCCGGTGGTTCCAGACGAGAACGGAAGAGCCACAACATCGTTGGAGTTAATTTTCACCGCCGGAATTTCATTTTCATCGGCCTCTAAGATCTCGGAGAATCTCAGGCAACCCACCGGCGGGGAATCCGTACATATAATTTTCACCCCATTTTCCACCGCAAATTCCCGAACTTTCTCCACAAATTC